ATATTTGAATTATTATATTACGATTCTGCTCAAGGCCCCCAGATGAAACAGAGCCGGCTGTTGGTTTCTCATTGAGAAGTTTGACCTGGGTCACCACACACTTCACTAACTTGTCTTCTGCGGACCTGTGTGTGTTTCTTACCTTGACGAACAGAGAGATGTCGGGCTGGCTGGGGTCAGGCACTATGGGCTCAGCCGGAGCAGCGCTGCTCTCATCCAGACTGACGCTCTCCAGGGTTTTCAGGCTGTAGTCGACGGACTCCTCCGGCTTGGTGTCAGTGTCGGGGAGGGTGTAGGCCATCACCAACCCGTCCTCAGCGGTATCCTTCTCCTCAGTCTTCAGCTGGGTCGGCGGGTCTTCGCACGGGTCTCCGGGGGAGGTGGAGGAGGCCGAGGAGGAGGACGATGAACGCCTGGATGAGTCGTGCGCCTCGCCGTTCACCTGCTCCATCACAGGCTCCATCGTCACCGCCACCTCCGGCTCCACCACCGCCACCACCTCCTCCTCCTCCACCTTGGCCTCAGCAGCTCCTTCGTCTTTCCCCTCATCCTCGTCGTCGCTGGATGAAGAGGACGAGCTGCTGCGTCTGTCCCCGTCCCTGATCTCCAAGTATTCCGAGGAGCAGCTCTCTCCCTCCGCAGGGGCGTGGACCTGCACCTCGCTGAGCAGCTGCGCCCTCGCCTCACCTGAGCCCTCAGACTTGGTCTCTGAGTCAGAACTGTCTGCTCCATCCCGACGCTCCTCATGCACATGTCCCCCATCCACTGTGTTCTCCATGGTTGGGTTTGTTTTACTGTTGTTTTCTGTAGAGACCGGAGGTTGAGTGTGGAGGAGCAGAGCTGCAGTGGTGGCACACGGTCCGCCTGCCTCAGACTGACTGAGCGCAGGAGCAAATTCCAGCGATAACTCATAAAAGACCTTTGGTCCTGCGAGTTAACATGTGACCAACGCAAAAACAGAGGCCCGAGTCTTCAAGGACATCTGAGCCTGACCTCAGGTAAAGTCTGATTCCTTGTTAGTGCAGCAGAACTTCATTTTATACTTGTATTTTACATGTAATCTTCATTATGCCAGTGTAACAAACTTACACAATAAAATATTGAGCTATTTCACTTGTGAGTTTGCCCAACTTTTAATTTCAAGTTTTGGAAAGTTAGTTTCTTGTTTTGTAAAAAAAAAAAAAACAAGCTACAGATTTCAAGTCATCAGGACGAATGGTCACTTTTGTTGAAATAATAAATGAGCTTGATTTGTTGATCCAATTTATATTTTTACTTTGAGACCAAAAAGTTCATATTTAATTGACAACAAAATTATTAGGAGAAACAAAGATGAGTTGTTTCTTTTCTTTTAGCTGAAATGACGTGAACAACTGCTTATTTAGAGGCTCCTCACTCAGCTATGAAGTAGCGCCCTCTAATGTGCACACATGGTGGATAAATGATGAAGCCGACCTTGCACGTATTTGTGGATTCTTTCTGATTTGCTTTCTTATTACCTCAGCAAATTAGATTATGATTTACCCCTGTTTGTTATTTAGTTTTTTGTCAGCAGGATTATGCAAAAACTAATCTTGGAGCCTATCTGCTGTCATCTGAGGACAAAATAGCCTTTGGGGGCCACAACCAATATTTTGGGGCATTGTTTTCCCAGGGAATACATAGATCTTAATGAAGTAAATCTGACATATTTAGGGGACTGATATCTATGATATGATTGTGTGGTGTGGACCCAATTTAAATGTGGTCATAGGGAGGCAAGCTTTAATTAGATGTTTGTTTTTATGAATTATTGTGCAGCAAAGATCCAACTGCCTCATACAGACAGATACACATGCATGAAATAAAGAAAAATGCAATACATTCAGTTTCTCATTAGTCCCTTTATTTTCAGAAGACTCTTTAATTGCATCAACATGGCAAAGATAGTTCATTTGTAAATCATATTAAATATCGACATTTCAAATCCAAGGTAAAATTACAACTGATATAAACTTGATCTAATATTTAATCTTTTCTAACCATTTCAAATGAATTATTTAAATAAAGTATGGATATATTTCATTTCTCTGTAGGGGACAAATCATCAGACAACACTCCTCTGTCATAAAACAACATTATCAGAAAATTAATATTTTCCATATAAATGCTTTCAATTGATTTAAATTTTGTAAAAAGTAATTTCTCACAGTGATGTCTGTCATTTTTTTGGGCACAGGTATTAGTCAATGCATCTAAAAGCATGAGAAGAAAATCGAACAAATTCTTTCCTAAAATAGACCTAAACAGACTTAACTGACAGATTTGGATTCTACTCAACTTTCTATGCTTACATTAATCAAAGCTTTTTGGCAATAGGCTCCTAATTTTTTTTAATTGTTTGAAATAGCGACTACGAACAAGGAGTGCAAAATGTACATGAGCTAAAAAAAAAAAAAATAGCATCCGACCGCTGCCCCTTCGCTGTGTTTCAGTTCTGTCCTGTAGTGCAAATCAGGGGCCGAAATAAGTCTTCTCAACCAAGCAACAACGAAACCCTTAATATCCCAATGACAAAATACTGACCGATAGCAATTGCACTTCACATTTCACCAACAAATGGCAATGGTTATGACAGTAGACACGTGAGGATGAGCACACAGTTGTCTATACAGAAAAATATCTTCCAAACAAAAACGCTACACACAAAGGATTACACACATAAAGAGAGATGTTCTCCGTTTAAGTTAAAAGGCAAATGGTAGCTGACTACTAAAAGAGCAAGGTCGTGACGTGGTCGGCTCGTGGAATGGCCTACGCGTGTGAGCAGTAGCCTGGCACATTGGTCGAGCCTTCACTGGAACATGTACATCCAGCTAACATTCAAAAGTAACACTGAGCCCAGCCAATCGCCTGAGACGAGTTGAGTTTTTAATACTTCAGCTTAATCACAGCATTTATAATAACATAGTGGCTTCTAATTCAGCACAAGTGGAGGAATTGGTGGGAAAAACTCTGACAAGGCGTTGAATCCCCTAATCCTGTGTTCACGAAGCACATTGTTCCTCAGTGTGATTAAATGAGTCAACTCAAAGTCGTCCTGAGCGAGCAGGTGACCAAACCAGGCACTGGTCAGGCTCAGGTAGTGCAGCGAGGAGTCCTCCTCTCTTTTCCCGAGGAGAACGGGCGAATATTCGTGGGTTGTGTTAACTCACGTAAACACAACAGCCAAACCTGCGTGAGTAACACAACGTGAAAGTTTCTTCTAGTTTGATGTGAATGCACCAGTAGAATATACGACAACACAAATTTGAAATCATCAAATATACTATATTGACTGCCGGCCATATCACTGCTACTACTTGCTATTATGCTTCAGAAGATTAAATAATGGAGCGAACCCCGCGAGCTAGTTCAGGCTGCACTGCTCCAATCATGTGACACACATCATGTGACATACCTCATTCTCCACAATCATCTATTATACACACCCACCTAATTAGGTGGCCTATTTAAGCAGAGAAATTTCCCATTAACCCCTTTGCTCGCACTGCTATTGCAGTATTGCTACCATTTGCTTCGGGGGGGGGGGTTTACAAGTATTTACTCGTCATTCCCATCATATCTGTATAATCATATTGGGGGAATGATTGAGTCGGAGCCTAGACGCTGAACACAAACCTGTTCTACTGCTGCAATAAACGGTTGAACGTGAGTTGTCTGACTGAACTTTACTAGAGCTGCTGACACGCACTGAAGTTTTCTTGAGATTTTCCAGTGAGAAATGTCAGAGTGAGTTGCTCTGGACTTTTTCCTGCCAGCCCCCAGGTGAAATGTCTGAGCCATGGAGTGAGCCCATGTGAGAAAACAGCAGGAAAATTGTTGGAAAAATCACCATGGGAACGTTTCAAACAAGCGATGCGAAACTGGAAGAATACAAATATCTAAGGATCGAAAAGAGGTGTCGTACACCTAGAACATGGCGACAAAGATGTCAACATGGAAAGATGACAAGATTGCACAGCTCTTGGCCAGAAGGGTCCACGCCTGTGTCGATGTGATGTTAACAGAAACACAGTGATTTCCACGGAGGAATTTCCACATCATGTCGTGCCTCTTGAATATTCTACCCATGCACCACTTATTGTCTGACTACTCCAGAACATCTCCTGTTGTTGTGAATGTGTCTGACCTGAACAATCTCCTTTTTCTTCTGAAAGACAACGAGCTACATTTGACTTTTCTTCACACATTTCCTGCAGCACACAAGAGTGCAACACTATGAATGCCATCAAGGACAGATTGTCTGAAAGTGTGCGCAGTTGTATTATTGCTTCCAATCCTATCCTATCCAAGTCAAGGTTTTTGCCACCAAAGCTTCCTTCTTGCCAGAATCACAGGTTAAAATCCCCACTCAGCTGTTAATTTATTTTTTACTTTGTACGTGACAATGAAAACAATGAGCTATTAGGTAAAATTCACAATCAAAGCAAAGCCACTATAAAGCCCATGTAAAGGTTTATTATTTTGATCCTACACCAGAAGCAAACCCTTCACATCCCCCTCACACTTTGGGCAAAGCTCTGTACATGATTGCAAGGTCACATTCAATTCTCTTGCTCTCCATCTAATAAAGGAGCAGCACAATGGCAAATTACTTGTGTAGAGTAGGCATTTAGGGGATGCTTCTGGGCAGAGCAGACTACCTTGGGGAGCGATACCTCTTCTTTTTACGTCTGCTATCCTTTCTGTCTCCTCGGCTACAGGTGCAAGTCCTCTTGCAGCAAGGGCTGCGACATCTCCCTGCGTCTGTGCTTCAGCGACGGCAGCTGCATGAGCGTCACGTGTACGATGTAGAACATGAGAAAGCCCAACACCATCACCACGCTGATGAAAGACCCCACAACAGGGGCGTAGGAGTGCCCTTCGACCCTGGGAGGGGCGCTGGGCGTGGGGGGAGCCAGCTCCGGGTACAGCAGGTCCCGAACGTTCGACAGGGAGCCGTTGTTCGGAAGAGGGCGCACAGAGAGGATGTGGCACATGAGGGGGTAGAGATCCACGGAGCGCATGGAGGTTTTCATGTAATTCTGGCGAAAGGCTGGACCGCGAGCCACGAACACAGGCTGCATGCTGCGGAGGGTGTTGTCGTAGCCGTGGTTTCCCACTGGAGAGAGACACAAAAAAAAGAATGGAATGCTTTGATTATTATTCCTTCATTCCTAATCTATATGTCTCCAGTTTCCACATACAGAACTTTTTTGTTAACATATTTATGTGATCAGATGTGATGATTCACGACCATCGCTGCTCGGCCGACAGGTTCCTGCTGCATCAATCACACGAGCAGAAGTGAAGATTGAATGAAAACACACAAGCACAGAGAGCTGATGGAGGCTAAGAGTGGCTAACTGCTGCTGCCAACATTTATCAGTGCCATCAGCTCCCTGACAGGATTCACGGTGAGTAAAATCAATACAGTTAATCAGCGATGGCAGCAACCATCCAATCAGGTGCAGTATCTGAGACTTGTCTTTCCTTAAATACTCTGTGTATTCTTTGACCTGTAGTAACGTTGTATAGGAATGCCTCTTATGATTTTTATATATTGTATACATGTAAAAGCAAGGAAGAAGTAGTATATGGGCGTCTGATCGATCTTTGGAGGTAACATAAACGTGACAAATACCGACATAGGCAGTGAAGAAGAATAATGGTGGCTATTAAACGTGGAGGTAAACAATATAGGATTTAAAGTATTCAAAATACTGGCTTTGAAGACCTTAACTCAGGATTTCCATTCATTTGTGAAGAATGCAGCAGAAGAACATTCACAAAAACAGGAATATTTCTGGAACAATCAGTCATGGATGGAGTGTGGGAAGAGCATTCAGGAGGCAGGACGAATAAATTCTGCTGCGGAAATCACTTGTCTTTGCTCGCAGCACATTAACACCAGCGTCACCAAAAGCTCTCTAATCTTGACTTTCCAATTTGACATCTTAGTCTTTGTCTTCTACATGTATGGCTCCTCTTTTCCTGAGGTATATGTATTCCTCCAGTTTCACATCCGTTTGTGTGTTAGAAGCGTCATCAGCTCGCTGGCTGTGAATTTTCAGGAGATTTTCCTGCTGCATTCTCACATGGGCTCACTCTGACATTTTCTTGAGGGTTCTGGCAGCAAAAGTCTGGAGCAACTTGGACATTACAACCTTACAACCTCTGAAAAATTAATTTCAGAACCAAATGATGACACTTAAACCGCTTTAACACCAAAGGCCTTAAACCCATAAAAAAGGTGATTGACTCCTTTCCCATTGCCAGTAGATGAGTTGGCCTCAATGTGTCATGCTCAACGTCACAAATGCAGCAATAATGGAGGTGTCTGATTTTTTTTTTTTTACTGTTTTTTATCGGCTCTGGCTCTAAATGGCGGAGTCCACATACAGTATTAATGATTAATGATTAATCATCACAAGCCTTTGGTTAAAAGGAACTTGCCACATTCATAATAGTGATTTGTGTATTTAAACACTGAGTAGAGGCATCACAATAGATTGCGGTAATGCACCCGCCAATAAACCCAACGAAGAAGAAGAAGGCCTCACATAGTTTACACAGACATAGATTGTATGTGTTTGGTGTAACATGATGAAACATGCTCCGATAACTTCATCATAATCACTGTTGCTGAAACAACAGGACGAACATCTCCTGACATGCAGCAGAGCATCACGCTACTCAAATGTAGCTGCACAGTCTCGCAGCACATCGTCAACAAACAGTCAGCAGGTTTTTCTTTCTGCCACAGGGTCATTTTACTGATTAACAACTCTTCTGCTAGAGAGGAAGAACGAAGTGGCGAAATTGGCTGGTGCTCTGCCCACAATACACGGTCTTCAATCTAAAGAGGAAAAATACTTGCTTGATTTGAATTGGATTAAGAGGAAAAGAATAATGGCACAAGAAAGAACATCCACACCCACTCGCACATTCCTGCTGCTTCCAAGGAAACACAAATGTGGCTTTCTTTCTTAATCACAGCTGGGAAAACATGAGGTTCAGTGAGTGCTCCTATTAATAGGAGCTGAAAAACCGGTTTGATGTTTAAAGCAGAATATTGTTTCAACACAGAGTTATAGGGCTTGTAAACATACACATGAAGGACCCGGTCCTGTTCTGCAGGATGGTCCAGCCCTCCTTGGCCTCCAGGATGATGGGCATGATCCTGCTGTTGTGCTGGTAATGGAAGCGCGTGGGAATCTCTTCCTTCTTGTACACTGCCATGTTTGGGTTGGCGTCCACCAGCTTGTCATACACCTCGTCTAGTTTCCCTGGAAGAGAAGCAAATATACAAAAATTAGATATCTGGATGAGTGGACACCAAAAAATAAATTCAACTAATCTAAGTTTAGCTAAAGAAANTTTGCTTTCAGCACATTCCACAAATGATTTTGAGAGAGTTTCATTTTTGTTGACTAGTAATAAGATGATTCATACATCGATTCAGATAAAGAAAGTGAATTGACAACTATTTTGATAAACATAAGTTATGTACAATAGTGTATATTTCCGGATTCCAGTTTCTCATTACTGCACTTTCACTTGAATAACATTATATTCTTGCACCATTTTGCAAACTGTAAACTGTAAACATGCTTTAATATCAATCGATTAGAAAAACTAATCCACAGATTAATAATGAACACAAACCTTCTTGTGTTGATATGATGAACAAGCAAATAAGAAGTTGGTTCAAAAAAGGCTCCATCACATCACTGTAACCTTTCTTAGCATTGTACTGATATTAGTTAGATATATCCAGCTCCACATTAAGACTGTATCGTTACCAACACAAAGACGTTTGTCTCTGAAGACATCACAGGTCAGAGACCGGGGGGGGGTACAGGATGCAGTGCACGTATTAGTACACATGAATAGATGTCTGATCATAGTCTGACACATGGATGTGGGAACAGGCTTTTGTGCTGCAGCGCTAACAGCGACAACCCGCAGCTCTGCAACAATGACACACACACACACACGCACACAGCAGCAAGTGCATGTCGCCTGTGTGCAGCGTTTGACTTTGATGCAGGGGAGAAATAAACAAATGCACAAATGCAAATGGTGTCAACAAGCTCACCTCGTTATCTGATCCTGCAGCGGCTCGCCTCGCTCCTCCCTGCGCGCACCGATAAACAGCCCCGGCCCCTGCTGACCTCCTGAGTGGCTGCAAAGCCTTTTCAATAAAAACGTCTTATTTGCTTTGAGTAAAAACAACCTGAGCACACGTGAAAAACAACAGGCCGTCCTGTAAGAGCATGCTCCGGCTGCTGGAGAGCTGCATCACCCAACATACACCGCGATCGACAAGTGCGTGGGTCCCTATGACGTAATGTAGGGTGAGGAAGAGGGGAGGGAGGGGAGGGAGGGGACAGGGGAGGAGGAAAAGGAGGCCTTTATAAATAAATAAAAATATTTATAGTAAAAATGCATTTACTTTTAGTGTCAGATGAATAGAATGACGATAATGATAAAAAATAATAGTATTAATAATAATGGTTAATTCTGGCGTATTACAGATGTTTGTAGATGTGAAAGAAGAACGAATGATACTAAAAATAGCACAGTTCAGAGACCTTGTTGCTCTAATTCTGTCAGTATTTTTTTTTTTACATATGATAATGCAATATCAGTCCTGCAACAGCAATGACAAAAACTGCACACAAGGTGGCGCTCATGTGCTGTGTACACCCCAATCTGGCTCTTCTCGTGCTGTGTTGTGAAGAAACATCTCAGTTATGTATCTGCTGTTCTCACTGAGCCTATTTATGACCCCCCCCCCCAACACACACACTCCGATCTCAGCTCCCCTGTCCTCATGTGACACTGTTTATCTGCCATTACAGTGTTTTTTTCTGCTAAAACAATTTTCATGACCTTGATTTATGGTTATGATCATAAGCTTTGCCAAGGCTAATAAATGCACACTGAGGTGAGACTGCTTCTCTGTCAACTGTTTCATACGCAAGAGGTGCTTCAAGTGCCCACACAAATGGAGAATATGAATAACTACTGCACGAAATCTGGGGCAAATCCGGCTGCTGATGAAGATCGTGTGGTACGATTGAAAGCTCTAGCAGAAAAAAAAGACCTGTTTGTTTTGCTATTTCATGATAACTGTTTCAAACATGAAATATGTTGTTTGTTCTTATTTGATTTTACACTTGTTCTTGGAACACAGATGAAAACTCTGGCATATTTACAGTGTTGTTAATAATATGCACTGTCCCCGAGAAATAAACTTAAAGGTTCTGTGTATAAGATTTAGGTGAAAGTGATCTATTGGCAGAAATGAATATATAATAATCCTAGTGATACTTTTGATACTTTCCCCAGTGTGTTTCATCTAAATTGTATAAATTGTGGTATTCTTTACACTAGAATGGGCCCTTTATATTCAAATACTTTATATTTATATCAGGAACAGGTCCTCTTTATAGAGGCCACCATGTTTTTTAGTCCAGACTGGACAAACTAAACACCTTTTGAGTTTTTATGACAACTGAAAGCTACCACAGGTTCTCTGTCATGTTTGGAAGGGGAGGGTGAGGTGAGGGGTACTCAGCTGCAACATGCAACTTCACCACTAGATGTCACTAAATTCTACACACTGAACCTTTAATATATAAGGTTAGGACTAGGGTTAGTTGTGGAGGTCAACATTTATCTCAAATGTCAGTTTTGTTTAGTGTGTAAAGTAGCTCTTTGTTTTGCATATTTATCAGAGTGGGTAAAACACATTATTATTATAACAATAATTATTTTTGTTCTGCATTTTGTCATTTATTTTATATCCTAATATGGACCTATGAAAAATATATATTTTTTAGATATAATAATATTAATATGTGACCAAACAAACAAGCTAGAATAGGCTGAAAACCGAACAGTGATGGTGCACCTATCATCATCAATGTTTTTTAATTTGTTTCAAAAATAATTTGGAGCTGATTATTTCTTTTCATTGTGGATTCCTTTTGTGCTTTTTCCTTCATCTATGTGTTGTACTTGTTGTCTTTGTGTTTTCACCCTCCATTTAGCTGACGGTGTGAATCTATGTGGGAACAGCGCAGCAGCTGTCATGCTACCTGCTCCTGTGTGTTCTGGGTTGACACCTGAAACAGTTGTGTATTCACATCCATGTGGGCATGAGGGTTTTTGTGTGTGTTTGTTTGTTCGGACAGGAAAGCTCTGTCTTTTGTGAGATTTGTGAGAGGTCTGATCTCTCTCTGTCTTTCTCTCTATCCATTGTGATGTAGCTCAAGAATGTTGTGGTGGTTTTCTGGTGCTTGATTTCTTTGTAGAACGTGTTTTATGGTCATTGTGTTTTTTAAACGGTGTTATATATGTAGTGAATGTACTTCAACACTGTGGAATGTGGTGAAAGCCATTGTTGTGTCGGAAACACTCTGGATGTTCTTTGTGGCAGATATCACCATTCTGCTGGAAGCACTGGGGCCCCTTTTATCACTGACTTAGACATGAGCCTCGCTGGCAGGGACTGAGTATGATTATCCCTACAACACACTAAAAAATAAAATATGAGTAGGTTGTGGCAGCACTCACCACTGTCTGAGGATGGTTCGGAAGTTTTTTAGAGTCAAACACCATTCATGAAAATAGATAATTGAATATTCAAGATAGAAAGACTTCATCAGGTGTTTCGGCCTTTACTGAAGACATCCTCTTCTAAGGCAGGCCCACCACAGGTTGATCAGACCTGGGTGCTTGTCCCTCGGATCTTGGAGCCCATTTGGGATCTTTCCCTCTGACCATTGGCTGCAGCGTTCTGCAGTGTGTGATGTTTCTTTTATGGTCTGGCGCAGGGCTTGTCCGTGGATCCCCCAGATCTTTGAGCAATCTAATGGTGGATGTTGCAATGAAACCCCTGCAGTCAACCTCCACAGGGCAAACTATTGCTTTCCAGCCATGTTGCTCTGCTTCAAATGCCCCCCACCCCTCCACTCACTGAGAATATTAAATCAGATAAAAACTCATTTACCAAAGCTCCTGCTAGAAGAGACATTAAAATACCAAATAGAATAAGTAACTATTGGCCTTTTCTTATTGAGCAACATATACCTGGAACACCACAACTGTATAAACTCTTTCTGGAGAAGTGGATCGGCCATTGTGCAGATTGTTGTTTTCGTGTTTCTTTTTCTCTGTCCAATCTCACTAATTGTTGTTATGTGTTTGTATGATTTTAATTTTTTGTTATTTTGATCAATACACCTTTATATTGTTTTCACTGGTCATTTGTGTTTTGTGCTGTTCATGTGCTATGTGCATGTACTGTCTGTTATTTGTTTGACTTCAACCTTCAACCTTTCTTGGGACTGCATGATGGAATCTGGCCTGTGTGTCTAAATCTGGCACATTGAAGTAGTGGTTCGGCTATGTCACTGTGGTGCTGATTTCTTTTTTGTATTATTCCTTTTTTTCTTTGTCTCTCTCTCTCTCTGTCTCTAGTCTGTATCTGCGTGTGTGTGTTTGCAAGAATTTTTGTTTTTCCTCTCCTTTATTTTCTTTGATATGCTGTCTTTATATTGTTTTTACTGGTTATCTGTGTTTTCCTGTGCTATATGCATGTACTTATGCATTTTTATACCACAAATCTATTTGTTATTTATATAATTGAAACCATCAACTAATCAGGGTGTGAATGATGAAATATACATTAATAATTGTGCATTGTCCCTTTTAAATGAAGAAAACATAAATATAAACAGTGTGAAGTGTGAAGTGTATTGAATGTATTGTTTTCTTTAGAATCTTGAATATACTAGGACTGGAGCCATTGCTGCAGGCCTATGTGTATTCTGTGTAAATCCGTAGTGTGTCAATACTGTAGTTCTTTATGACAGAGAAACCTTGCAGACACAATGGTTTTCTGGAGCTGCTCTCTGGCTGACATTGTACCATTGTGATTGCTTTCTGGTCCTTTGTGTTTTATTTAACAACATTCATTCTCTCTCTGGTTCTGTCTGTCACTGTCTCTTCCTACATTACCCAGATTCAACGAGAGTCGGCCCCGGCTTTCATTGGCCTGTCTCCACTTTCCCTCTCAGCCATCGCAGTCTAGTGGGATCTGCGCACAAAGAGCGCGGAGCCAATCACATGGAGCCTCTGATAAACCACAACCAATGGCCGCGATGCTTTTATTTACATAGTCGCAGGGAGAGCCAATGGGGAGTCGGCACAGGAGAGGATTTTGACTCCTCTATCCAATGACGGTGGGAGGTATAGAGTTTTGGGGGAGTGCATATAATCAACATATTATCGAAGGTGCTTAGATATTGATCCTGTATTTCGAGGTAGTTCAAATTCACATCTCTTGGACCTTCCGGCATCACCTTAAAAACCTTTCCCCGCGCTTTGTGGAGAATAATTCACGCGTAAACATGCCGAAGAGAAAGGTGAGTGTGGTTTGTGCCATTTCTACTTCACTGTAGTTTTTTCTGCTCTTGCATTTGAGAGGAAAAATTGCGGTGCGCGATTTTGTGGCGACGTCGAGGCAGGTGAGGTGACGCCAAAGTTTGAGGAAGCGTCTCTCGGTGCGCAGCGTTTCTGGTGTGTTTTACGCGTCGTTGCTCGTATGTGAGACGTTTTATCAGCAACATTTGATCGTTTTTACATTATAATCGTCCCTGTGCTCGTGTCAATGGCCGTTCTTGTTGTCGTTTTATCTGTCACTTCCCTGTCCAGTGTGCGCACTGGTGAAAGTCAGAGCGACCCGCCAGACGGATTGATGCGTAAATCCCGTAGAAGACGTGCGCAATAATATTTATTCTGTGCGCCATCGATCCTGGCACATATGAGATTTACAGATTGTGAATAATCTGTAAACTAACACGAAAAAAAACCCCGATCTCCACCTCCCTGTCTCGTCTTAATTCTCCAATACTGATGAGTGGTGCAGGCGCCAAGCCGATTGAGCAGAGCCACATCCAGATGGAGAGAAAGGAATAAAAGAAAGAGGGGATCAGGGACAATTGC